TTCAAAAATAACGCATACAAGATTAATCTCCAACACATCATATACCATGTCGTCAACCACATTTGTTTATTTCTTCTTCTTTGGCAATCTGCACTCCGAAGACTTATGACCTATTTTGTCACAGTTGAAACATTTTCCTTGAAACTTCTTTTTAGAAATTCAATATTTTAGTCCTATCTTGGTTCTTTTGCCACCGGATGGCCCCGACTTTTTTTTTTGTAGGTCTTATAACTTTAACCATGTTCCACAACATTGGCTTTAGCAAACACCAGGATTAAACCACTTCTTTTCTGAATTCTTTTTATCTTATTCAATTCAAAGTCTAACAATCAGTTATTCAACGTTCATTTTCTTTCTCTTATGCTTAAGATCATTCTTGAAATCTTTCCATACCGGAGGCAGCTTTTCAATAATTGCAGCCAATTGGAAAGTTTCATTCAAGATTATCTCGTCAGCATGAATCTCATGAAAAATCACTTGAAGTTCTCGTACTTGACTATTAAAGTTTTTGAGTCCACTATTTTATAATCTAAAAATCTCCTCACAATGAACTTTTTAGCCTACTCATCCTCAGTTTTAAATTTTCGGTCCAAAGACTTTCACAAGTCCTTTGCAGTTTTCATCGTACTATACACGTTATATAGTGAATATGTCAGCTATTCATGATATAGTTTCGGCACATAAAATCCTAATAGTTCCAAGCATCAAGTGCAGTGATTGATTGAACATCCCTCTCACTCTCATTGAATTTTAAAGCAGTTTCAGTCAAGAATCTCGCAAGATTCAAGGTGGTCAGGTAAAATACCATTTTCTACTGCCTGCTGCCACCTCTTAAAATTCAAGCCATTGAATTTTTTTATTTTTTCTCCATGATTAACCAGAACAGTAACGGTATGGCCTGTTGTTGGAGCTATATTTTGATTCACAGCATGATTCGACAATTTAGCCACAGTTTGAGCCACAACAGAACTGGGCCCTTGAGCCACATCCTGATTTCCAGTAGTTACAGTTTGAGTCATATTCATGTTGGTTGATTCAGTTGTCATTTCTGAAAAATCAAATGAATATCAGTTTTTGAACAACAATATATGAATTTGTTTGTTCTTACTTTCAAATATGTTTTAAGTTTGTTGCAAGAATATAGAATAATATAAATTTTATTTATTACACTAAGAACACAAACAAACTGAGAGTGAAAACTGCAGAAATATTTTAAGCGTTGAAATTATTATAAATCTGCAAATTGAGACCTGTGTGTACACAGTTTTCTTACAACATATTCGCTCCTTCACTGTAGATGCTTAAAGATTAGTTCAGACATATGTCTCCTAAGATATAACGGAAGAACCAGTAGAATCTAAGCACTTTAATTTTACTCCGACGAAATGAATTTATATTAGAACAATAGTACTAAGACTTAGACGAAAATGAAATTTTTTTTAGAACTGGAACTGGAAATTATGTAGAAGCGTATTTAATCTTTCTAGTGTTGAATAATGAAAAAACGAGCTCAGTTATAAACTTGAAGAAAGCAAAATTTAACAAAATGTGGACACTCATAAAGGGCCAATTTTTTATCCGTTCGGTTCGACATTCGTGTACACAAGTCGCGTCTGAACACAAGTTCAAGACTCGATGTACAATTTTTGGTCCTTGATTTGTAATCCCATTGCATGTGTACGTGAAGAAAGTCTCTATATTACACATGATTACACCCTTTCAAAATGTAACCATATATAAAATAGTCATTGCATTCATCAACTTCCAATGTAGGATAAACTTTAATATAGTTTTCCCTCCAACATAAACGATTTTCCGATGATCCACTTTGAACTCCAATTTTTCATTCACCCGTTTATCATTTTTGGCAAGTAAATATATGATTTCGATATTCTCACAGAGGAGAACATGAATTAACTTTGATATTCCAAATTGACCCAACAGGTCCCACCTAAAATTGTGCCAAAAATACGCTTAACAAAGTCATTTTTCCACCTAAAATTGTGCCAAATTTTACATGTAGACTTTTCCACATTAGTTTTATTTTCATGCTCAATTACCTTAATATTCCCAACAATGCAATGCAAATGTCCTAATTCCACACACAACTCATTAATGGACGACTTTTATTGATTTTGGTTATTTGTTGCAAAATATGTATGCACGGTTGCTACTTTGTGCATTGCTTGCACCGCCTATGCCTGGGAGGTGGGGGATGGGATCAAGGAATGAAGTTTTGCTGCACCACCACCCCCAATGGGAAAATGGGTATGTCTCCAATGCCACCATTTGGCATGCCACCAACGGGGTGCTATTAACACGTGAATGTTTTAGTAATTTTGAATTTAGAGCCGAGAAATTTTACATGGTGTGAAAAGGAGGACACAGATGTCTTGTCTTTACAAGTAATGGTGGGATATAGTTGAAGTTTAGCAATAATGTAAATTGTTGTCGTCTGTCATAGGGTGTTGATATATTTCTTTGTAATATTCTTTTGGAACTGTAGGCAAAAAGTTGAGGATAAGTTGTATTTCTTAAAACTGGCCAATATTATGTTTAGTATGGTGGGACTTTAATAATGAAAATTAAGGTAAAATTTCATTAATATGGTATGTCAAATATATCTTCTTTAATTATTTAAATTTGTGACATATGAAAGTTAATTATTTATTGTGGAGTTCCCCCCTTGCCCTTGACCAGGCACATTTTTATTATTTTAAATTCACAGTTTCTTAACAGGTCACCAACTTAGTAAAAATTCGTTCTTACCATTTGAGCTATGTATTGATCTCATGCATCTAAAATGTAGAGCAACTTCGCGGTTCACATAAATCGAGTCTTACAAGCCAATTGACTTCCAATCACAATTGGGATTAGGCTACTAACAAGCATGACAACTTCACATTTGGGATTGGGCCTGAGCCTCAGCTTGAGCCTAGACTTTTAACAAGCAGATCAGACCACATCTGGGTTCGGGTTTGGGCTTGGGACTTAAATTTGGGTTTGGACTTAGACTTAGGGTGTGTTTGATAGATTTTATTGAATAAATAATGTATTTTAAATAGTGATATGATGGAAAATATGTGGTTAAAAAGTAAGGAGAAGTTATTGATATGATGAAAAATATTATTTTATTGAAAAATGTGTGATTGAAAATGAGTTTTGAAATAATGCATTTTAAAAGAAGGGGTACTTACAAAAATACCATTAAAATTTGGGAGGTTTTGAAAAATCATATGAAAGATTTTTAGGAAGTGAAAAATACTATGTAAAATGAAAAAGTGACACAATCTCACTTTTTTTAATAAAAATTGTCACAAACTCAAAAAAGGTGACAAAACTAAAAAAAAAGTGATACTCTCAAAAAGTGATACAAACTAAAAAAAGTGACACAAACTCAAAAAAAGTGACACACACTGAAAAAAGTTATAGAAATCAAGAAGGTAACTGAAAAAGGTGATAAACACTCAAAAAATGACAAAATTCAAAAAAGTGACAAATTTTAATAAAAGTGACGAATTCAAAAAAGTGGCACAAATTAAAAGTTGTACAGATTAAAAAAGTGACAGACAATAAAAAAAAGTAACACACTCAAAAAGTGACAATTCAAAAAAAGTGACACAAGTTAAAAAAAAATGTGACAAACGCTCAAAAGTGACGAAATTCAAAAACAATGTTATTGCCTACACTAAACTCATTGTTTTTCCAAAGACAATGAAATGCGAAGGAAGACACATTTTTTAAATGGTTACATTTTTGGGTTTTTAATAATGTAATCGATCACTTGCATTATATGTATTTAGACGTGCATAAAATTGATGGAAAATCAAGAAAAGAACAATTCATCCTTGTGCAATACACCATATCTTCTCTTCTCCATAAAACTATAGAAAAACTAACATTACACCACCTGCACCACCACCTAAACATCCACCGTTGCCTCCACCAAGTCCACCACCACCTCCCGCTCCTGCTCCCGCTCCCGCTCCCGCTCCTCCACCAAGTCCACCCCTAGCTCCACCTCACAGTCCTCCACCAAGTCCACCGCCACCTCCTGCTCCTCCATGGTTGGGGCAGATGATTTCAAGGTGGAGGATTTCTCCATTTTCAATTTTAATGTCTCTGATACAATTGAAGAAATTCGAATGACAGACCGGTGTCCCTGCTTGTTCTTGTAAGGAAAACGCGAAGTGTCGGTCGAGATTCTCAGTTCTGGGAGGTTCTCACTCTCATTGGGGTATTTTTTTCATTCCCTGCTCCGATTCGAGCCTCTTCTGCACGCTCTCTTTCAACATCATTACACCCATCCTCGAAAATCTTCCTACACCCTTGGGACTATTATACAAAGGAGGTTACCCAAATGGAGACTCTTAGCAGTAGGGTCGAACCCACATGCGGAATCCCGGTGGGTCAAGTCCAAACTGCAAGACCAATTCAATACTATACATTTACCCTTGTCCCATCGTCCGCTTCCTCTGCCTCGCCACTTTTATCACCACATCCACCGACTAAGATTTATTCATACAGAGGAAATGGGGTAGGGGCTAAGCTGCATACAATTACGCGAAAAGAGGCGGACCTGAGAGAATCAGGGATGGTTTTGATAGTTTTAGACAGTATTAAATACTTGATTAAATCATTTAATTAGTTAAAAGGATATTAATGAAATTAGTAATTTTTTCAGGGTATTAGACCTAATTTTCCCTTGAAAGAATGCGTGGCTGGGGGCTTAGACTTTTGAATTCGAGTTTGGACTTAGACTTAGGCTTGAACTTGGACTGGGGCTCCTCCCATCATCTGGAACTGACGGTGCTAATAACAGTTACAGACGCGCTAGCGATTAGGCTTGTATTCACGCTCCTCCTAATCTTTATGCTCTGCGATACAACTGTCTCCTCCACTGCTTCCTTTGCCACAAACTCAAACAGCATTTTCATCTCTCCTCTTGAAGAAAGATTGAATGGTAGGCCCTTAAAAAGACTATCTCACAAACATATAAAATGGCTGTTTCATTGAATTCAGTCGTCGGTTTCAACTCCACTGTACGTATCTTTCTCTTGCTCTAATTTTTATCTATATTGTATGTATCTATTCACTTAATTAATATTAGTTTACTTTACAAAATATTTTTAATGGGTTGCCTCTTTTGGATTTCTGATAAAAATTATTTAGTGGGTTGTTCTTGTTTTTCATTATCTGGAGTTAACTGATGGTTTATATGTTTGATGAAGATTTTTAAATTGATTGAATGCGTTATTTCTTCTTAAATACAGCTTGCTTAACGTGTTGTTGTTTAAGCGTTCTCACGTAGAAAGGTTCTTGAAGCAGTTACTCATTTGGGAATCGAATCCATTTTCTTCCTATAGTATTTTGGTCCGGATTTTTGTGCTTTGGATATTTGCTTGTTGCCGGACCAAATTGTTTTAAAATTTTCGTTCTGTTTTAATACATTTAGGGCATTGGTAAATCTAGATTCACAGTTCTGGATGGTGTGTGCTGATATAAGGGTTTTTTTTTTTATTTTCAAATATATGTTGTTTTTTTCCTTCCCCCCCTTAAAGACACTGTTAAAAGTTACTATTTTTGTAAGGGAGAAATATGCAATTTCTGGAAACTTGGGTGGGCGTTTTGCCTTGACCTGTTCCGGTTACCTTGCAATACTATTGATTTGAGTGTTTTAAGAGTTAAAATTTGTGTATGTATTAGTGTGTGTATGGTCCTCTTAGAACGTGTACAAACTAATTCTTAAATGCTATAATGAAGCACTCACAGACAGTTTCTAAGTTTTATTGCAACGGTTTTGGTGTTGATTCAAGGACTGGGAGGATTGCTTTTTCTTGAGTACATGTGAAAGAAGGGAAACAAGCATCATCTTTGCTTAATACTGAATTATCCTCTTAACTCTATTCTCATGTCTAGTATTTTCCTTCAGATCAATATGCTTTGACCTGTTCCTGTTACTTCATTTATCTACTATTCATTTGGGTGGTTGAAGTACTAACATTATCGTCTAAATGGTCCTGACGTCTAGAAACCAGTTAGGGAAAGCTACAAAGAAGGAACTCATGAATGAGTAATGTTATTTATCATCACAATAATAGAATATTGATGATGTGACAATCCATTACCCCTCACATTTCTCTCTCCCTCTCCTCCCACTCTCTCATAAAAATTGAACTATCCAATCCGATTATTCCACATAAACCGTCATATCACCGATATTCCATCGTCATAATGATAAATAGCATTATTCCTCATGAATAACTTTGAAGAGATTTGATGCAACAGTTTTAATATTGATTACACAAACCAAGAGGCTTTCATTTTTTTTTAGTACATGCGATGGAAAAAATTGTCTTCAGAACTCTATTACCATGTTGAGGTTTTTTTCTTCATATGAATCTGCTTTAAATGTATTTAAACTGAAATGTTACTCATATGCCTATCATGATCAGACATTGAGATTCAAGTAGTAAGAATTCCAACAATTTGGTAAGAATATTGCTGATTTATATAATATGTCAGTGTGAAATTAGGAATTGGCACAAGAAAATTTATTACCGTGTATGCATGCTAAAAGTCCTGCTCACCCATCTACCAGTTATCCGAATATAGCGACTAATATACATGTGACATTAATAATATTTAGCTTATCATTGTAATTTAACTTTAGTTATAAATAATAGCCCTTACCAGTTTAAGCTTTTAACGACATGGTGCCACTATGAGGGCTGCATCATGCAGAATATTGCGAGGAGAATAAGATAGCTTCGTAATGAAAGATTAAAATGAGTACTTAAAACACTTTAGGCTTCTATATTAGTTTGTTAACATAAAAGGAAAATATTAGCTCCATATACATGTGGAGAACTCCTTGAAAATCACGTGTCCGCGAAAAGATCATTCAGATGCCATAAAGATGTTCTACATGTATTAGGATTGACATTTTAGAAAGATTTTGTGGTATAATTGAAATATGATATCAAAAGAGGCTGATGTTGTTAGTTTGTTAGGTAATTGTAGTTGTCCGGCCCTTAGTTCATAAAACAGGTATTATGTGTCAGAAAGTTGTGTCGGCTTTTGGAAGATTGAACATTTTGGACTGTATGGAACCTAGGGATGGAGGCCCCTTTAGCCCATTGAGGGTAAATGCTCTTATAGGAATCTGTAGGAAAAAAAAACTTCTTGCTGTCATCCAACTTTTAATGCATCTATGTTTTAATGAAAATTAAGAATGTGAGGCAAATAAGTAGCTGTGACTAGATTAGAAGTGGGAGGAGTAGATCAAAACTATCATAGAAAATTGTAGTGACTAAGAATTTAGAATACATCTACTAATGAACTGAATGGAAATGCGATAAATATTTTATGTAGCCAAATCCAAATCCAAATTTATTAGAAACTATGTTTAATACGTATTATTACATTTTTTTTCTTTACTTCTTGTGTTATTCATTTTTTCTTTTTCAAATTTTTCATGTTTAGTTAAATTACGCCCCACTTAATTGTATACTGGCTTGGCCCCTGATGGGGTCTAATCATAATCTACACCAATCATGATTATATTGTGAAATGTTTGTGTATTTTAAATTTAGAGGTATATTGATTATTTCATACATATGTTAGGCTCCTCTATTCCTTCGTATATAAATGATATTTGTGCACTTTTTTTGGGCTTATAAGAGAGTTGTGATGGGAAAATTTGTATTATTATCTTCCATCCATGTTAGATTGCTCTAATATTATTCCTACGTGTATAAATGATTTTAAGGGGTGGGGGGCCCTTTTTGGGTGGGCAAGAGAGGTGAGGAAAAACGTGTTCTTCTCCTTTATAGTGAAAACCTTCCGTGGTAAATAAACATAGCTCTCACATTCAGAGTGAACCATCATAAATCTTCATGGATGCTCTGCTCGTTTCTTATTTCTTTTTCATTTGTTATTGCTCTCTACAGTAGGAATCAGGACTTAATCCATCACAGAACATGGATTAGGTGTGTGTTGACTGACATGTTTTGTCGGACTTGGAAACAGGATAGTGACAAAAAGTATTGATGTAACATAAGATGGCCTCGACATCTCTCAAACGTCAGTATGATACTTGAAGCATTCTCAAGTTACTATAGGGCATGAAAAATGTTTTTAAACTCTCTTTGGTAGGATGAAATGGGGGAGCAGAAGGATCTCAGTGGAAAGGGACTAGAGAATACGTTGAAAGGGATAGATGGTCAATAATATTACAGGAGTGAGTGATTGAGGACAAGGAGTTTGGTCTGTACTTCAAAGAAATGATAGATTGAATCTTCAGAAATCTCATAATTTTTTATTGATCAGTATGTAAAATTGCCCCTAAAAGAATTCAAACAAACAATGCTTGCAGCTGTTTGATATCCAGCAGAGCTTTCAACTGTTATGTCCTTGGGGAGGAAGTTTAATGTGATCTTAATAAATATGCATTTATATTGTTTTGGGATTTCTTGAAAACATATGGCTGACTAGCTTCTATACCACCTGATGTTTACTTTGTTTTACCCCCCTATGACAGTTGCAGGCTAACTACCAGCAGATCACGAGTATTAATATTAGTGTATCACTGCCGAAGTTCCACCAATTTACTTCTATTTCAGGAGCCGTTGGATTAAGAAGATCGATAGAAGGAAAAAGATCACGGTTCTACGTTCTAGTTGCTAATGATGATTTTGTGGGTCCTAAAACTTTTGAAGGATCATATTCTGAAGAGGGGTCGTCAGCAGATGAAAAATCTTCAGGAAGAGATGACAAATTTCAAGCCAGCGGTGATGTTGAATTGGCACCTCGAGATTCTGTGGCTTCCAATGGATCAATCGATTCCACAAATCTGAACACAGAAGCATCTGCAGTCAAGTCAAGCTCGACCCAGAAACGAGCCCCATTAACAGCAAGAGAGAGACTTAGGGCAGCCCGGGTTCTTAGTCGCTACACAGAGTCGAAGCCATCTAAACCAGAGCTTGGGAGCAAATTATTAGAGGCCTTACGAGAAAGTGACAAAGGGAAAAGACGCCCCAGCCTTCCTGAAGCACCTTCGAATATGCTGGACGACAGCAAAAGAGGATTACCAAATCCAGGCTGGACGTTTGAATTTCCCGGCGGTGTGGATGTGTTTCTCGTCATCTTATCATTTGTATTAATCAGCACAGTAATGTTTGCAACTACATTCATTGTTTGGAAAGTTGGGGCTATCCATTTCAATGAATATTAAGGTGGATTTCCTTCTCAATTGTACTTGAATGTACAGAGTTTAGCTGGGCAAACAAGTGAATATCGATAGAGTTTTTGGTTTGTTATTATGTATTTGATTAACTGAAGTGAAATCCTAGTTTCCTTGCACCCTCTTTGAACAGCTAAAAATAATTTCAGCGTCAGCTACGTCAACTTGTTGAAGTCACACAAAATCTTATGTGTACATATTTTTCTTCTCGTTCTTTGTTAGAAATTCTCAAATTCAGTTTTTACATTCATTCTCTCTAAAAGCCATTCAAGATAAGGAAAAATGAGAGAGGATTCTATTTTCATCTTTAGGGATGATTCTGAATCATAGGGTTGAACCCAAACTGAACTGAGTCAAATCGAGCAGTTCTTCTTAAGTTAAATATCGGAACGAGTATTTAAATCGAGAACCGATGAGTTTGGTTCGGTTCTCGATTCTAGACTAAGAAATGAAAAATTGAATAAAAATCAAATCTCTCTAATTTTTTAATTTTTTTTTATTTCAAATAAGTCAAATTATTTTATTTTTCTTAATAAATTTGTTAACTAATTAATTTAGTCCAAACCCAAAATATGATTTTACTATTTTTAATTTTCAACTAGTACAACTTAATTAAATTGACTTAAGTTTTACCCAAATCTCTTATTATACAGTAGAGTCGTTTTTGTCGTTCTATTATTGTGAACTCACCATCGTCCTCTTCCTGTAATTTTAATAGTCAAATTTATTAGGAACTCAATAAAGAGGTGGAAAAGGAATCATGAGATTGGTCTACGTTATTTTGTAATAATTAAGACTGAACAGTCATAGTCGAATTAATATTTATAAATATAAAAAAATAATTATTATACGGAATTCGAAAATCAAATAGAATCGAATTTGAACGATTTCATTTACTAAATACCTGAAAATTCAAGTTCGATCCGAACCATATTCAGCACTATTGGATTATAAAAAATTAGTCAGTTCGAATGGTCTGAATAGTGTGTACTACGAAACATAAAATATATATATAATATACTTGATAAATTAAACAAAAGCCCGTCTAGCTCAGTTGGTAGAGCGCAAGGCTCTTAACCTTGTGGTCGTGGGTTCGAGCCCCACGGTGGGCGATTTTCAATGTTTTTGTTTTTCAAAAATTGGGAAAAGCGAAATATTTCAATGTAAAGCTGGACCAAGCTAAAATTTCGAAATTATCTTAACTATATGTTTTAACCGATATTAATCATCAATAAGTTCATATACCTAAAAGACAATCTTTTGTTATAATGTTGGGCAAAATACTGGTTTTTTCAAAATTACTTTTTTTCTCACACTCAAATCAAACTCACATTTTACATTAAAAAAAAAAAAAAGACGTTTTCACATTTTCATATTTTTTTCGTAACTTTTATCTACTTGTTAACTATATATTCTTATTAAAAATCACTTTTAAAATAATCAATTTTGCAAAAGTGTTCAACAAAACTTGATATGAAATAAGATTAAATGTTTGTTTGGGAATGATTATTTGAAGTAAAATTAATTTGTTAGAATGTATGGTTTAGATTACTTGAAAACAGCAAATTACTTGTTCTTAACGATTTTTTTCCTTGTAAAAAATTCTTTCGGTTGTAAATAATAAAATAAGTAACAAATTCATTAATATACAAAAGTAATTTAAGTAACTTTTAAATTAAGTCAAAATATTTTTTAAGGGGATATTTGATGCACATTATCGCGTGGAATAATGTATTTTAAATAGTGATGTGATGGAAAATATGTAGTTAAAAAATAAGGAAAATTTTTGGATGTGATGAAAAATATTATTTTATTGAAAAATGTATAGTGTAAAATGAGTTTTGAGAGAACATTTTGTTTTAAAGAATTTCTTATCGTTCTACAAACATCTAAAAAAGTCGTTACGAGAACCATGAATAAACACTAAGATCCTAATCGAATAAAAAATGTCGACTATCAGTGGCGGAGCTATCACCGAGCAAGGGGGAATTCACAGTAGCCGCTGATGGAAAAGTGAGAGGAAGGGAGTAACTATGTCAACGAGTCGAGCCGAAAAAAAAAATCGGGCTCGACTCGAGCTTTTTAAGGCCGAGCTTTTTTGGGCCAAAAAAAATGAGGCTCGGCCCGAGCTTTAGGCTTGAGCCTTAGCGGGCCGAGCCGAGCCCGGACCAAGTCGTTCGGATTTTTTTAATGTCAAATCTACATTTTTACTTAAAAAAATTTAAAATTTGTACAGTTTATATATACTATAAATTAAACAAAAAAACTCGAGCTGGGCCCTAGCCGAGCATAGCTTGGCTAAAAAAATGAGGCTCGGTTACGAGCCGGGCCCGGCTCGAGCCGCCCAAGCCGACGAGCTTTTTTGTCATCCCTAAAAGGGAAGAAGATGAAACAAGACAGTAGGTTCATGTTTTGGGCCTTTTAGGGGCAATTGGGCCTCTTCTTTTTTTAATAAAATTAGGCCCAAATTCCAATTACACACTCGACATTCCAATTGAAAAAATCAATTACATTTGCAAATCCTTGGCTATTCTTCCTTGCGACTATGAGGCCACGATTGCGATTCTGCGAACAACCAAACACTACAGCCGGCCTTTCCACTCTCCGTCTCTATAACGGTAAGTAAGTCCTTGCCCGCCGAATTTTTTTTCCCCTTTTCGATTTGCTAATTTATGAGTTATTAACTTATTATGAATTTATGACTATGTCCATGTGCTTTGTCTGTAAGAGAAGAAAATAGAAGAATAAGAATTAAGAAAGGAAAAAAGAGAATGTAGTTGAATAAGAGAGAGAGAGAGAGAGAGAGAGGCAAATGTTAGAATCAATTTTAATCGAAAATTTTTAGTTGCGTTCTCTATTTTTGAACCAATTTTAATTGAAAAATAATTTGAAGAATTTACATGTATATTGAAGAATTTTTAATATTATTTAATGAAATGTTAATAAACGATTATGATAGTTGATTGTTAAAGGTCAACGGTCAATGTCCGCCCTAACTTAACTCCGATTCTAAATTCACTATTGTCGACAATCCAACTAGCTAAACCCTCTTAAAAACAAAAACATTTGAGAACCTACCATGACCAATCTAACGAGCACAATATAAAGACTTTGGAATACCAACAATAATTGGATTAAATTCATTAATGGTCACCTAACTTTATAGTTAGTGTTACCATTGCCACCCAATTAAATTTATTTCCCTATGGCCACCCAATTTCATATAACATTTTATCATGCTACCAAATTTTATATAATATGTCACCATGATCATACAATTTCTTTTCACAATTTTCAATAATTTTAAAAGGGGTAAAACTGCAACTTTGTCTAAGTAACCTTTTTTTTTAAAATAAGTTTTTATTTTATTTTTTTAAAATAAGTCTTTATTTTATTTTATTTTTAAATATTTTATATATATAATGCAAAGTTACCGTTGTACCTCTCTTAAAATTAATGAAAATGATGAAAAGAAGCTAGATAGTCATACTGAAACGTTATATGAAATTGGATGGTTATGTTGAAACGTTATATCAAATTATATGGGCAACCATGATGACACTGAGTATAAAGTTATGTGACTGTGATGAAACAAAATGAAATTGAGTGACCATGATAACACTAAATATAAAGTTGGGTGTCCACCGGTAGATTTAACCCACAATAATCATAGTTCTAACGTTCTCGAATGAAACCAAAATGATTGGTAGAAATAATAAGGGAGCAAATAACTACAACATGGTCAAGAATAATTGTAGTAATAGTTTTGAATAAGAAATTATCAAAAGTGATTGGATGAAATCTATTAAATCACCTTTAGAATCAAGATCATTAAAACAGGATTTAGACCGGCAAAATGCTACCTATATGAAAAATTCTTGCACAACCAAAATCAAATTTAATCCAACTATATACCATCGATGCCTATAAAATCTATGAAACAATCATAAGCACTCGAAGCACTGGGAGGATCCATGTCAAAAATTGTTTTTTGTTGCTTTCCTAGGAGTAGGGAAACAAAGAAAAGAAGAATTCTCATCGGTCTAAGTCGGACCTGTAGAGCTCTCCTATCGCTCTACATGAAAGAAGGAATGTAAAAAAGCTCGAAATATAGTTGTCTACTGCTAACACCAATTAACCCTGCTTTTCTCCCTGAATTAAAGTAATCTTCTACTGCCCAATGACCCTAATATTGAAGTTGCCAGGTATGCATCAACTGAATTAGCTGGAGGACAATCAGCAGCAAGAAGACCAACGTGGATCAATGACAAAGCAGCTACAACAGAAGCATCTAGAAGAGAATTAGTTAGATTGGTTTTGTATAGTTGTATAGAATCAGTTTTGCATTTTGTTCTTCATGTAAATTAGTTAGGAAGCTAGTTAGAAAATGATTCCATTTTTCTGTATTTATAGAACCTTCATTGTACATTTAAACACGGTATAATGAATACTTTTTCAGCCTTAAATTAATTATTCAATATTAGAATTTTGTCATTCCAAATCTAATATGGTATCAGAGCATGAAATGGAGGAATCAAATGCTCCTACAGATGCAAACATTAATCCAAATCGTACTCAAAATCCACAACAAATTGATGAAAGGAATTCGAGCATTGTTCCTCATGATCACTCTCATCCCAGCAATCCCTACTGTATTGGCAGCAATGATGGAGGAGCACTTATGCTGGTTACTCATGTTCTGGACTCCAACAATTATTACTCATGGGCTCGTTCTGTAAGGAGAGCATTAAGGATAAAAAATAAACTATGATTTATTGATGGAACTCTATGTGAACAAAAGGATCCTAATGATCCATTGATAGAGCAATGGCTTAGGTGCAATGATATAGTCATAACATGGATGTAGAATGCCATGGTGATTGACATCAATAGTAACACGATATATGCAGAGACAGCTCATCTCCTTTGGCTGGATCTAGAGCAACGATTCTCTCAGCAAAATGCTCCACTCATATTTGAAATTAAGAAGG